CGTTAAACATGTATTCATTTTTGTTTAAACAATCTAGACCCCAAACCTATAATATTTTTAGTCTCTGGATGTCAGAAACTAGCAGAAACTAGCTGCTGATGGGCAGAGGCTCAGTTTTATCAATGCTTATTATTTCCAAAGGTTAACTGCTGCTATGATGCAGACTGTGCAGAAAGCACGGTGAATCTAGCAAGCTTAAGTCATGTCTGCTGAGCACAGTTATAACTGATATTTGATGATCACTTGTGCTTCACAATTAAATATAAAACAAATAGAGTTTTTGAAGTACAGCAAGAAATCCTGGACTTAAATGAACAGTAAGAAAATCGTAAATTGTGTGAACTGACTTTACAAATCACTGTTCGCCCGCTGTTGAAAAGTAAAAGCTTCTGAAATGTCGCTATGTTCATCCCTCAAATTAAATAATTCTTCCATCTGACGTCACAATTGTAGTTTCCCTCCCGTCTGCTGCTCTGACTGTAACATGTTAAAATACACACATCAGTTTAGGTCAGTAGTGAACCACTACCAAGGCTATGAGTAGGTTTCTCTTACAGCTGTCAGCTGGTGGTTCCTTGCTGATCTGCGCAGTGTCTGTTCCGTCTACTTTAGTGACACTGTCCACTTAATGATTTTCTGTCATTTCTCTTCTTTACATACCCATAGAAAATGATAATGTAACATATTTTCATACTTTCTTCTATAGAGATGTTGTATTTACATGCTTGATGATAGAATTGACAACTTGAATGGTTTCTTTAGCAATATGTATTCACTTTCTCTTTCTCTCTCCTCGTGCATTCTGCCTCTGGCAGTGAAGCTGTTATATGCACTACTGTTACTTTCACTAGCAAAAAATAAATACATTGCTCAGTCATCACATGACCTCGGTATTGAGGAAATGCGGTTACATCACAGCCCAAGTTGTAGATATTTTGCTCAAGTATGTCATTTGATATTCCCCATTACAATGTGCATCATGTCCCAACCAGGTTAATTAACATAACCAGGATAGAAGGAATGGCTCTCATTTTGGTTCTGTCATTAATGTGCTAAAATAACGCAGTCCTTCCTATCACTGATTGGTTAGCAGCAATGATTTCTGTTAGCTGCTGCAGAAGAAGAGTTGTTGCTGCGAAATGGCAGAGCTGTGGTTTATTGTAGAGAAGCGGCCAGCTGGTCGCTCTGCTGCTGCTTTCAGATCAGCTGCAAAACTTATGGTGTACACATGGTGACAAATAGAGGTGACAGTGCACCCTTTAACTCTGCCAGTTCTAGGCTGGAATGTTGTGCCACTATTCTGCCTCAACAGATACAAACATGGAGTATGGGTCATTATAATGACATATATATATATATATATATATATATATATATATAACATAATGAGGGACGCTTTAACAGCAGTGTAACAGGATCGCTGTATAAAACCGGCTTCGTTTCAACTTCCCCACACATTTTTATTTTATTTATTATGTCATTAAAACCTAACGTGTCCAAATGTGTAAACGTTGGGCTAAATTTAATCAACTAACTTTTCCCTCCCTGTGTCTTTCTCTTTCTCTCTGCTTGTCCACAGATACAACAAAATAGCTCGGGAATGGACACAAAAGTATGCAATGTAGTGTTGGATTAGAATCATGGCCAACCACCTCTACGACATAAGGTTAGGGGAGCTACAGACGTAAAGAGAAAACAAACAAAAAACCATACAAACAAAATGAGAAGTTTAAAACAAGATCTTGTTGGTTTCCATTGGAGTGCTTTCTTTGAGCCACGCCTCCCCTTCACCAGAGTACCTGTAAAACTCCCTCTGCCCCGACTCCCCACCCCCCTCTCTCTCTCTTTCCCTCTCTATCGTTCCCTCTCTCTCTGTTTGACTCTACCCCTTCCCCTCACCCTCCCGCCTCTCAGCTCACCTGCCTACCCTCCAGTGTACATATTGTCAACTTGCATTGGTAACACCTGTCTCTCTCTGCTCCTTTTTTTACCTCCTCCCTCCCCCCTGTGACCTCTGCCTCCCATCTCCTGACTTCCATTATATTTTATCATAATGCAGGTTGGGCTCTTGTGCCAGCTGCCCCCCCTACCTTCCCCTTTTACCTACACGCTTGCATCCTCACCCATCTCCCCCCAGATGACAAAATCACTAAAAGCATTCCTTTGAGCATCTGTAAAAACTTTGAGGGGACCTTTTTCTTTATTTCCCTAATTTTTTGTTTAGTTTGTTTTAAGGGGAAGGGGGACAATAATATAGAGGGATTTTACACTCTGCATCCTTTCTTGTTTTGTTGTCCTTGTAATTTCCATCTGTCGAGGTGACAATTCAAGGAAGCCGTTTTCGCACGTGAGATGAAGGGCACTCTGTATTTTATACAATAAACATCCTTAAACCATGGCAGGCTATGTAAAACGGCCTCTTCTGGTCTTCTGTTGGATTCTACGAAAGGACTTGAATTTACCCCCACCCCACACCTTCTGCCCCTCCCCCCAGCCTCAAACCACCATACCCAAGTTGACCCCTTTGTACCCAAACACACGCACTGTCACACACACACACACAAACACACACACACACACACACACACACAAACACACACCATAACCCCATGTCACCCCCCCACCACTTTTTCTTTATTCACAAAGTGGAGGTTCTGGACCAGGTATTTAAGCAATTTATTTTTCTTAGTTTAACCTGTGTTTTTATTCCCCACCCCATAACTCTTTAGGTTGCATTTCTTTTGTTTTGTTATTTTTTTTATTTTATTTTATTTTTTTTGCTATTGTTAAATTAGAAGCTAACATCTTAAATGGCTATGGGACTGGCTTGTGCTCTGGGTGCGAGGAGAACCCACTCTTCTTGCACAAAACCTCTGTATATTGAATTACCTGAGAGGCTCGTTGAGCTTTGTGTGTTGATTAAACTGTGTAATAAAAACCCATGACTCCTGTGTTGACTCATTCTAAGGCCCTTTTTAAAGAATTTGTGAAGGTAAGGAGGGGACATGTCAAGCCAGGTCACATTCATGACCCACCTCTACAGACATTTAGCAGAATGAGCAACAGTCAAGCACTGGAATGACGTCATCACCACATGCTATCACTGTTATTTTGTAGATTGAATCACCTCTAACAAAACTATTGGTATATATTGGGGAATATCGAATTACTAAGTTAAATAAATGAAAATTGAAGGATTAATGTTAGTATTTAAGGATTTGGAGATGTAGCTCCACATGTTTGCAGTCAGCTGCAATTGCTTTTCATTTTAGTGTGAAAATAAACTTGGATGATTAGTAAAAGAATAGATGGATGTCACTGAATAACTGCATTATTACATGACTGCTAAAAGCCTTTAATTCTATCGAGTAGAATTTGTATCGCCCTCTACTGGTGCTTTAATGTCAGGTAATGTGAAATGCAAATGTGCACACTGCACATTCTGGTTCATGCATCAGCAGTTCCTCTGTTAAAAGAATTGTATTCACTTTATGTTTCATAGTTATGGTTCATCATCTCATGGATCTGGTGCATATTCCTTCTTTAAAGGGGTATGGGACTCACCAAAGCTCACAGACATTGAGATGATTCTCTGCCAGTGGAATCTTTTGTCTCCACCTGTCGAGCATACAAGTTGTCTTTTAAAGGGATAGTTCACCAAAAAATTAAAATTCACTTATCTAATCGCCACTATTCTAATAGAGGGGTGGGTGAAGTGCTTGAGTCCACAAAACACTTTTGGAGTTTCAGGTGGTGTGTGCATGCGAACGTGAATGCAGTTCCAGATGAAGATAAGAGCTGACATTAAGGCTTAATTATGGTGTAAATGACACCGTTTTGCATCAAGTTTGAATTATGGACACTTGGATGACACCACAGGAGCAGTATGGGTGGAATATATATATATATATTTATATATTATTATTTTACGCTTAAAGAAGGAGTCCCCATTTACTTCAATTGTATTGTTGCTGTTTACCCCTGAAACTCAAAAAGGGTCTTGTGGTCTCAAACCCTCCATTGGCATAGTGGTGTGCAGGTAATAAATGAATTTAAATTATATCTATTCCTTAACTTAATTGACAATATGTTGATGAATTATGCAGCTGTAACGTGTGGCAGTTTGACACAGTTATTGTACATTACAATCCTGGTCAGAAGGACCTAATTGAGCAAGGTCAGGTCAATCTGAGAGTGAAGGGTAGATGAAGGCTCTGGAAAATGGGCAGTAAAGTGGAACTCCATATTAGATTATTCTGTATGGAAGCCCACTTCTAAAAAGAATCAAAAACTATGAAATAGTAAGTCAAAAACATGAGTTAGATACTAAGTGTTAAGAAGTTCTTAGTCCTTGTTTTGAAATGCTATCTCACTATTTGGGTAAGTGAGTGATTATTATGAGTAAGTAAGTCATCATTACTCAAGAGATATTGATTCAATATGATTATTCTTTTGAAATAAGTAATTTTTCTCAAATGCTAAGCCATTACTTTTGGTTGATATGTCATTATTTTTGAGTTATTGGAAACATTAAGTCGTTTTGAGATACTAATTAATTATTTTGGAATACTAAATTATCATCATTGCAAAATGCTGTCATTTCTTATTTAGAAAATAAATCATAAATGATAAATCATTGTTTTTAGATACTAAGACTATTTTGATTTACAAACCTGTTTTTTTTTTTTTAGATAGGCATTGTAAAGTCATTATTTAGACATACTAAGTATACATTTAGAAATGCTAACTCATTGTGAGAAGTTTCTCATTGTAATGCCTCAGAGGATTTTTGTGACTACCGTATTGTTTCTAATCTACCCACGGTCAAGAGTGAACTTTGGTCAGAGTTAGGCTCCGCATGGACAGGAGGTCCTCACAGCTCCTCTCTGAAACCTTTCGCAGCTCCTACTGTAACAGCACAGAAACGAAGCCGGAAGTCCGTCGCTGGTTCTGGTGAATCCTCTCGGCGTCGCAGAACCTCCTCGGCCTCTCATTGGTTGCTGCAGCACACGCTGCGCGGTGACGTAGGCAGGCTAACCTGAAGCCGAGTTCACATAAGACGACATCTGTTGACCTTGTGCTGGAGCTCAGTGTGCACGCAGACCGTCGTCCCGGGAAAACATGAGCAGCCTCCCCGCCATGCCGCAGCTAGCTGTGCCTCAGATGCCCGCGTTACCCAGCTCAGGTTTCAGGCTGTCCAAAGGTAAAGTATCTCAGCTAGCTAATAGCATGCTAGCATGAAATGACCGCTGAGCGTTAAGTAAACATTTACTCTACGCAAGAACCACGCAGTCACACAGTGCGCGCTCCGGGAGACCGCTCTTTGTAAGAATATTGTTCACGTTTAAAATACAGGAAAGTTGTTTTATTAAGAGACTCCTCCTTGGATGGTCATCAGTCTTTTATTTAGCTAACCGCAGGTCAGCCACAGGTTGTGTTTCCAACTTGAGACGGTCACTCAGACGGTTCTTGGCCCCTCAGCTCGGGCCATACATGGAGGTGATCCACCATCCTGAGGACTGTGTGTGAGAGTGTGCGTGAGAGTTTGTGTGTGTGAGAGAGAGAGATGCGTGATGCCGCTCTAATGGAGCAGCTGATAGCTGAACTAGCTGACCCAGATCGCCCGCAGGGCCCATGTTCTTCCTGTCTTGCGACTCTGCGCCATGTGATGCTCAGTAGGTTTGGATTATCCTCCTCATTGCTTCGCTAAAACCCGCAAATTCACAACGCCTGGGAAGAATGGAAAGTTTCCTCTGTATCCAAACAGGCAGGCCCCTGTTCATCCATCATTATCATATATATATGCCATGATGCAAAACTACAGGACCTGTGGTTAATTTTGGGTCCAAGGTCTTTAACCTCACTCTTTACAAGAGACAACTGTTAGTCATCAAAGCTCTTGAAACATTGAGACACACTTCACAATCCATCAATCTGAAGCTGAGCAGTACATACTGGAAATATTATTTCCAGGTTTTTACTCTTTGAAGACCCTCGACCAGCAGATCAACTGTTTAACAAAGGGATAAACTCTACACTCATTTGGTACCTGGTGTAGTTATGTACCATAAACCCTCTCTGTGCTCGATCTGTTAGCTTCACTGTTACAATCCAGTGCAGGCTAATAGAACAGGCCCGTCATAAATCCTGTTTCTATGTTCACTGCTCAGTTGCTGGTGACAGGTCTCATGGAGATGTTTCAACTCTGGTACATGGTGCTATTAGATTCTGTTGCCTTCTACCAAGAGCTGTGTCTCTTCTTTTTTCACCCGCATACATATGTTGGCATTCACCAGTATTCTGCAGATTTAATGTTTTAACTGACCATGACTGTCTGTCTCTGCAGAGCATTTGGTGGTGGCCTTACCAGTTGCAGTGGTCGCAGCGGCCGGAGGCTTCCTGTTCAGTCATTACCTGAGCGGACGGAGCTGTAAAAAGGGCCAGGTGAACACCTGCATCAGCAAAGACAGTCCCAAAGTGGTCCACAGCTTCGACATGGAGGACATCGGCACCAAGGCTGTGTACTGCCGCTGCTGGAAGTCAAAGAAGGTCATGCCTCTGCCACTTGTTCAAACCCACTGATAGCTGCAGTCAAATGTAGTGTCTGTGTTGTTGGAATGTCTTAACAAATGAACTTGTTAGTGGTCAGAAATTCCTTTTAACTACATTTTTTGAAGTCGCACTACTGTTGGTGGGGTCAGACCTTCACATGTCACACTAGTGGCCACATCCCAGTCAGTGTGTCAGCTGTACTTAAGGTCCTTAAGAAGAAGGGAACCACCTTTGCATAAACAAAATCCTAAGGTTGCCACAGAATGAAGAAAGAACAAGGACAGTTAACTGTGTAAAGAATAAGGCTTTTATTATATTTCTAACCACTGGAGATTAAAGCAGTTTAGTGGATCCACTTCCTTATTTCATGTTATTATGAACATAAAGATAAAACTCCTTGGTCACCATAACTGTATGTGGGTAACACAGTGAACTTGTCCCCTTATATGCCTCTTTATGTTGTGGACACATGATACCACAGATCAAACCTGAGAGATTAAATCACGTGTGTCGTATCGTGAAGTATTAACCACCAGAAGTTTTGATAAGGTTTTGTTTTCATCTTAACGCTGTGTTTTCTTTTTGCAGTTCCCTTACTGTGACGGAGCCCACACCAAACACAACGAGGAGACCGGGGACAACGTCGGACCCCTCATCATCAAAAAGAGGGATACTTAAGCCAACCAATCACAGAACTCCATCTTCCCTCGACATCTCCTTCGCCCATCCTTTCTGTTGGTCTACTTGTTAACGATCATCTTTAACACTGTCAAAGATGTATGGTAATAAACTGTGACACTCAAAACAAAGGATACAAAGAAAATATTTAGATTTCTGTTTTTCGACCGGTTCCTACATTGGATGACATTGAACAGCAAAGGTCATTTGAGGAGAGATAAGAGGGACTTTGACAATCAACAGTCAAGCATGAAGTGTTAGGCCTGTGCAGTTGTATTTTGATGGATTTAACATTATGAATTTGGATCAAAATTCTCCCCACACATGATTGAAGTGAAATATTTTGCCTTGCGGGCGTCGTATGCTCCCGTCTGGTGTCACCTGTACACCCCCCCTCTGTGTGGAGCAGGTGGTTGAAATGTAATGAGCTGGCAGCTCCTAGCCTCAGTCAGTCCAGTGTTTCATTGGAATTCGTCACAGGCCTTATATTTGAATCTACAGCCCAGAGTCTGAACACACACACACATACACACACACACACACACACACACACACACACACACACNCACACACACACACACACACACACACACACACACACACTCATGTGAATGTTACTTGATTTAGATGTTTGCACAAATTAGAGGAAACAGTCAGTTTCTGTTTGCTCTGCTCTCGTCAGAGGGGGCAGAGCAAGTTTAGTTTGTTTCATATGAAATGATCATGTTTAGTCTTGGGAGCTGTTGAAACACTATTAACAATAAGCAATGAGTGGTCTGCTTTCCGGAGGAACTGTTGTATTTAATCTGTAAAGTGTAAACCTCTGCTTGTAAAGGATATATTTTGCTTTTTCATGAGATTAATTTTCTACTGGCTGCGGTGTGTCTGACTTGATGATTTGTTGTCCTGTATATTGTGAATAAAACTTGTTGAGCGATGTGATTTGTGTACCTCCCTGCTGATTCATTTATTTGGAGGGGGCGTTTGGGGCCAAACTTCACTTTTTTTGTTTGTTTCTTTAACCACAGGATAGAATGTGCCTCGTTTATCCAGCTCACCTCTGAGCAGAGGCAGGGCCGGGTGTTTGTGGATTAACAGACAGGGATAATAAGTAAACAGGGCCGTGTGGTGCTGCAGTGGGATCTCTGTGTGAGTGAGTGAGTAAGTGAGTGAGGCCTGGTGGGGGGGAGGTGGGTGAGGGGGCTGCCTTGCTGCAGTGTCCACCACCAGCACCAAGTGGCCATTTTAAGACGCGGCAGTATGCGCGGTGGCCGCTAGGAAGCGCTGTGTTCGCACGGATATGTCCGGGCCAGACAGCGGAGTGGTACGCGAGTGCACGGCGGTGGGCCCCCTGCTCCCACAGTGACACGCTCGCGCACGCACGGACACGCACGAGGTATCTGGCCTCGTGCCAGATGTATGCAGGACTCTCACAAGAGGTGGAGTGGACTCCGCGTCCCCGCGTGAGGAGTCACCTCAGTATGGCGGCCCCACGGCGCGCGCTGCTTCCGCTGCGTGGACTGTGCTCACGACGCACGTGCTTCACAAACACATCCCGCGTGGAGGCTAATCACCATCACATCACATGCTAACGTCCTCTGACTGATAACTGAGTCTGACCAGAGGCTGGCTTTCTATTACATTTAATAACGATCAGTGAAATGAGTCTCTTGTTTTTATTAGTTAACGTTGTTAAAGTGACTTCATATCATGTGTGTGAAAGTGAAGGGCACACATTCACTGAATTATTGTAAATACAAGTGTCATGGACAGATTGATGCTGGGAGACACACACAATGGATCAATAATTCAGTGTTTAAAAAACATTATAAAGTCATGTTTATTTCTTAATCTTAACAGTGAATCTACTTTTTTAGTTTACTGCTTTTTTGTGGCTGTAGAATTCTAGAACTATATTTCAAAGCTGACACATAAATGAAGCATCTGCCCTTTTAATATAGTCTAAACCCTGTTATCACCAACTTGCTACCTATATTATTCCAGGCAGACAAGCTTATATGTTTTAATCAAGTTAATTATATATAACAGTTAATGTAAGTGTCTATAACTACCTGCGCTCTACACAATGGATCCCATTTCGTTAACACAAGTCAAGTAAACAGGAGTCAATGCAGAACAGCGGAAATTGTCAAAGGCCTTAAATACAGTTTTCTGATAAGAGGCCTAATATACATAGCTGTAACGTTATATATAACTCAATAATAAGTGTATCAACAGATAAGTCTTCATCGTTGATTGTTACTTAACATAAGGATTCTTAAATTTTTAGATTTATCATTATTTATAATGAGCTCTTTGACATGTTGATACACATTTATGATATCTGATTATTTAACAATTTCCACCTGACGCCCATGTTCACTAACACAGCGTGTGTGTGTGTGCTGGTATGTATTAGTGTATTAGTGTGTAATGACACTGATGGTCCAGTGTTGTGTATTAGTGTAGTGGTGTGTAACGACACTGTGATGGTCCAGTGTTGTGTATTAGTGTGTAATGACACTGTGATGGTCC